ACAAAACCCTATTCCAAAGTTTTTACAGTGTATAGTCATGTTTATTCAAAACGATTGTCTTGGGGGAAAAAAGAATAATCTCTGTATAAGTAAACATGTAGTTTTGTGGGGTTTAGTAACTCTTAATATCATTATTCTAGATAATGAGTTCTCTTACTTATCTACTGTATCACATTCCTAACTCCTTTGTGCATGTCAATTTTGACAATTATGAATATGAAGGTAATAATCACTATAGAACCTGTGTTCTATAAATAGACATTTATTTAACCACCATTGCTAGTTACTTATCTATAATAGCTATGCTGAATAAGCTCGTTTGTCATCACCATTTTCTATTTGATGAATACTGGAAAAAAGACATGCACTTGGTGTCAACCTCCAACAAAAACTGATTCATTTCTTTGCTCTCTGGAGTAATAATTATATTTTCTGGCATTTCTATGCACTTTTTTTGTTGATGCTCCAGGGAAACAAGTTTGTATGCATTAACCAATAAGCATGGGAACCTAAACTGTGCACAGGATTGCTCTAGGATTTATGACACTTTGAGCAATACAAAATAATTATATTGCCCTGTTATCAGTAAAAGATATTGTATCTAAGGAATGAAGACTAACACAGCTGACACATTAATTAAAGAAGTAGTCCAAGGGGGTGATAAGTTCTTATAAAAATATTTTTCAAAGTATTTCCCCTAATATGTTGAGAAATACCAGGAATTGGTTTTCTGAACCTTTACTTTAAATGGAAAGAATAATACCTTAATAAAGCTTTCCGGTTGTTGTATTTATAGTTCATTATTAAGGAGAGATAAAGTGGAAAATCGAAAATGATTTTCGTATTAAAATACACTTTCATTGGAAAATGCTTTGTTTCAGTGCAAACATTACAACTTGGTGATTAATTCCCATTTGAAAGTTTTGATTGCAATTTTCCCAGTATAAGGCATAAATGAGACGATTGGCTTGGAGGAGTAATTAACGTATCTCATATCAAGCCGCCTTTATATTTTCTTTGACTGCACAAGGTGGTGTAGAGAAATTACCTGGAACTGATTAAACCTCAGGAGAGAAGTGGGGGAAAGCATGCATTTGGGAGTAGTTCTCCCGGAGAACGCGAGCGCCCTCTAGGTTGTATTTATAAGCAGAGTCTTGTGACGCAACTCCCGTCCCTTCACCAGCAGGGAGTAAGAGGGAAGGGGCCGGATTCCTCCCGGTGGGAGCATTATCTAGACCAAAGAAAGAGGCTGGCGACGGGAAGGAAGAACCGATCAGGCGTCTGAATAGCGGCCACAGGACAACCTAAAGCCTGTCCAGAGTTAACGGGAGCGGGTCATACACAGTTCCCCCGCCTACCTCCCCCTACCCTATCCACCCGCCGCCATGTGTCACCTTCCTGTTCGGAAGTCTTAGTAGGTTGCCTGGACAGAACAGGGGGCGCCTGCTCCACCCATCAGGTATCCGGTTGGAAGAAAAGCTAGTCTCAACAACTGGATTCCCTCCGTTAAATGATAAGTTTAGCAGACCATCCGTCTCCAACTGCTGAACATTAGGGTAGGGGGAGGAGGGCGCACATCAGACGTTCCTCTCCTGTTCCAACCACAAATCATATGGTTGTGCCTCTTCTCTATTCCACTTAGAGCCCTCTAACTTAAATTCCACGTTCCTCCTGGAATGCCGGCAGAGCTTCTTTGAGAAAATGAACCCTGTGCATGTGTTTTGAATTTTTTCCGTGATGATAATCAGTCAAGTTACATTTCTTGTGTGTCTTGCTGGGGGTGTAATAAACCCAGGACACTGATGACTGTAATTTTCTGGGTGATGTTGCAATGAAGGGAATAAGTGGCCCAGTGTTGAACTTTGCAGCTTGCTCCCTTCCTGTATGTAAATTGCCTTCATATAAAGTGGGGTTCATAACAGGGCTGGGACAGCTGCCTCTGACTCGTGCTCTCTTGTCATCTCAGTTTCCAACCTTATCAGGCACATAGCAGGGAGGCTGCTCCAAGCATAACTAACCTCTCCCTCCAGCCTCCAGAAAGGAATCCCCAACCTTCATAACCTAGGCAACTTGAAGAATGAAAGAGGAGGCTATAAAATCCCCTTTGAAAGGTTTGTCTGCTTTTACTACTATAATTTGGATGGAATGAGTAAAACAAAGATGTTTCAGAGGATTGGGGGTTGCTTGGCATGGGGAGGAGACAGGAGATGGGGAGTAGGGGAGGATCTCTGATGGAGATTTCTTAATGTTTAAAAACCGAACAAGCAGAAATCTTGGTGCAGGTTGGTGTTTCTGGGCATCCTTTGAAAAATCTGCTCTCTCAAAAGGGGAAGGAACCATGTGGGAGCAGGACTAGGCTAGGCTTGTTGAATAACGGGGCACTGGCAATAACAAAGTCATATTCTAGGAAAAACCCATCCAAGAGGAAGCAGAAATGGGCCAGTTACTGTGATTTGGAGTTTCCTCAACCTTGCTTTAGGTTGAAGTGTCAGTTTCAGGCAATCCTTAGTGCTTTTTTAAGAGTGGGAAATTTCCCAGCCAGCCTCCAGGAGAGAGGATGTGTGTTCTCTTATGCCAGTTTGGGGCTGTTGTAACTGAGCAAAACAAGAAGCAGTTGAGGCTACAGACGGCATTGGGGCAAACGAGGTGGTTGTGAGTGCAAAACAAGTTCTTGTCCAGAACCAGAGAAAAAACTTTACATGTTAGTCTTGGTTTTGACATCTGGTATTTCGGAGTGTGTCAGATCCAGCAGGCAACTTTAAAATGGCAGGGCCAGCAACGGGTCATGGCAGGGCAGTCACCGCAGACAGCACCAGCGAGCGCCAGGTATCCGGCCCTGCAAATCTTAGTAACTTGCAGCTCTTTCCCCTCCTGGCCCAGCTGGCAATCAGACTGCAGCTCCCAGGCAGCTCCCAGCGGCCGGGTTACTGGCAGGCACCGCACCGCTACTTTGCAGAGCTTTCCTCCTGGCTTTGCTTTCTGGAGCAATCTCTCAGGACTTAAGGAGTCAGTTTATCTGGGACTTGAGAGAAAGAGCAAAGTGGTAAAACTCTACAAAGTCTCCTGGGTCAGCCCTGAAATAAACCCAAGGAAGGGTAGGGAAAACACAGACTAAGGGATCTGAAGACAATTGGATGCGACCCGGCGGAGTTTTCAGGTCGGGGAGCGGGAGAGGGAACCTCCGGAGTCGATGATGCCCGGAGTGTCGACACCGCACCGCCCCGGGGTCAAGCCGGGTCGGTCCCCTAACTTGCCACCTCTTCACGTGTTCTTGGCATGGCAGGGATTAAAAATGCAAGGGAAAAAATTACATGCGCTACGGACAGAATGTTCTCAAAGATTACTTTAGGGGAAAAAAAATTGAGAAATGCAGGGTTTTTTTTTCCTTTAAGCAGAGACGAATTTTATTTCCGCCCCCTCCCCTCCACATTCCTGACCTCTCCCTCCCCCTTCCCTCTTTCTTTCCTTCCTTCCTCCTCTTCCAAGTTCTGGGATTTTTCAGTCTTGCTTGGCTTTGGCCGAAAGCACAAAAAAGGCGTTTTCGGAAGCGGCTCGGCCGTGCACAAGGGCCATTTGTTTGTTTTGGGACTCGGGGCAGGAAATCTTGCCCGGCCTGAGTCACGGCGGCTCCTTCAAGGAAACGTCAGTGTTCTCTTGTCGCCTTCGCCCGCTGCGCGCCGGGCCGCCGCTGCCCATGGGGGAGATGCAGGGCGCGCTGGCCAGGGCCCGGCTCGAGTCCCTGCTCCGGCCCCGCCACAAAAAGAGGGCCGAGGCGCAGAAAAGGAGCGAGTCCTTCCTGCTGACCGGACTGGGTAAGCGCCGCTGCTGGCACGCCGGGGACTTGTCTCCCCTACTTCCCCACTAGTTGCTGGGATCCCGCCAGAGGGGCTGGGGGTGTACTGAGGATGGAGCAATGGGGCCGGGGCTGGAGGGAGGCGGGAGCGGGGGATCGGCCGGGCGCCCTGGCTCCATGCTGACCCCGAAGATAAGGACAGCAGGGGCCACCCTCCCCCGGCGCTGCCGCTCTGTGCCCCAAAGATAACTCCGGCTGGCGGTGCGCGG